AAAAAAAAAAAAAGAAAAAACAGAAAAAAACAACAAAAAAAAAAACAAAACAAAAAAAAAAAAAAAAAAAAAAAAAAAAAAAAAAGACACAAAGATCGAATCATGTTTTAAGAGACAACTTGTCACTTGGTCAAAAACTGTTGAATGTTTTGATAAATCACTTAAAAAATATCCAAACTATTTAGGCATAATCAGAGATTTCAGTATATCTGTCGTTTATTTAATATTACGTTACTTCATTGAAGTTTGAAGAACTTTCATTTTAAATGTTATTGAAATTTTGAAAAGAAAAGTTAGGGTATGTCCAAAATTATTATTGATCATAAGTTTGGGAAATAAAAAAAGGTTTTTGAATAGTAAAGCTGGTCAATAGCTACTTAACAAAGAAAATGAAAATCGATTGACGGATGCAGAAGAAAACGGTACTTAGCTGTTGTATCTTTGCATAATTATATATAGATTACAATGCAGTATATTTACATTGGAATGTTCTAGAATTAAAACCAAAACAACTACGGCGAGTGATATTATAATTATGAAACTTAAGAAATATGAAATACGTACTAAATTCGTAACTCCGAATGGGACTGATCAGCTAGATTTTCAAAAATACCACAATTTACATAGTTCGGCTGAATGTGACGACTTACGACGTCATTTAGGCCCAAAATAAGCAATTACCTGACCACAAATCATTCACTAATACACAACGATTAACTATATATGACATCATGTGTTGTGATTGATGTTCCGCTTAACGAGAAAAAAATGCATCAATTATTAGTTTTTAAATACCTAGTGATTTAATTCATTAACATGTCACAAACATCATGAATGATTGATTTAATTGAATTAAGTTCCCTTTCGACTACTTTTTAGATTGTTTTATTATTAGTGTGTGCCTGGCTGTCAAGTGTTGTCGATAGGCAGTCTCGGACCCATGCCAGACAGATAGTCTTGATTATTTTATATTTATTTTCACTGCCATAACGCGTATGTTTTCTTTACTTAAAGGACTAATTCTGATGCCATCTAAAGGTTCTTCACCATTTAGTTTCGTGATAATAATATGTTAAATTGTTTTGTTGCGTTGTTATTTTTGTTTTACGAATGAAATAAAATTTTTGCTCATTAATTGTTTTATTTAAGCCTTACATAGGCTTTGTTTGTTTATATTTTACTGCGCAGGTAAGCGATCGATCTCACAGACCACCCGGTGTAATGTGCTTTTCATAGCCCATAGACATAATGATATGCATACCGGTATACGCCTTGAGACATAAAGCCCAAGTTTCAATTTTATTGCTTATTGCAATTTTCAAACCGAAACACAAGACTGTTGGTAGTGTTGGTAACTAGTTGTGCTGGCTGATAGGTTTTATCACCAATAAATATCGGTTAGCTATCTTAGTACGCTGATCTAATACTCGGAGAATGCTGCTACTATCCATTATTTTGTGATTCCCTTAGTCGCCTTTCCAGGACAGCCACAAGAAGTGACGGGATGGTGCTATTATAGGCTGACTGACACTACAAAAGCTCGATATCGCGCTTATTATTAACCCTTATTTGTTTTACCAAAGAGGATAAAATAGATTTTCTGGTTAATGTATACAATTAAGAATGTGATGTGACGTGCGTTTATTGCGTCAAAAAAACACACAGTATTAATTGAATTGCAAATCATTTCAGAAAACAGATAAAAACATAATTAATTATAAGTTAGTCATGTTTGAAATTAACGAAAACGATCGACTTTAGATTAAAAAAATGCACGGAAGTTTCTTTGTATAGATGATTTTTTGTTTCAATTACTATTCATTTGTAATCGTAGTATGGCGTCATCACTTTTTGCAAACTCGATTAATTTGGCCCCATTGCCAGGAAAACCCACGACCCTGAAAATATCATGGGTTCGCCGATACATTGGTGCAATCAGATACGCTCAACATGAAACACTTCAGCATGGGATGTATTTATTATGCCTCGTCGAGATAAGATGATGCC